TGATTTTTCCTAATCCGGCAAAACCGTTTGTTGTAGATTGTGATGCTTTATGGATGGGATTGGGAGGTGTGTTTATGCAACATCAGAAAGTTGTAGCTTATGCTTTAAGGAAACTTAAAGTGCATGAGAGGAATTATTCGACGCATGATTTAGAGTTGGATGTTGTTGTGTTTGTATTGAAGCTTTAGAGGCATTATTTTCTCGGATCAAGATTTGAAGTGTTTAGTGATCATAAGAGCTTGAAATATCTCTTTGATCAGAAAGAGTTGAGTTCGACGCAAAGGAGATGGTTAGAACTTCTGAAAGATTATGATTTTGGTTTGAATTATCATCCGGGTAAATCAAATATAGTACTTGATGCATTAAGTAGGAAATCTTTACATATGTCGATGATGATGGTAAGAGAGTTAAAGGTGATTGAGCAATTTTGAGATATGAGTTTGGTTTGTGAAGAGACTCCTCATGGAGTTAAGCTTAGTATGTTGAATCTTACTAGTGGTATTCTTGATGAGATTCGGGAAGGTCAGAAATCTGATTTGAGTTTGGTAGATCGATTGACTTTTATCAATCAAGGTCGAGGTGGTAATTTTCGGATTGATGAAAATGGTATTATGAGATGTCATGATAAAGTTTTTGCTTTGGATATAGTTGAGATGAAAAAGAGTATTCTTGAGGAAGGGCATTGTAGTGGATTAAGCATTCATTTGGGTGCTACTAACATGTATCAAGATTTGAGGAAAATATTTTGGTGGCCTAGTAGGAAGAAAGAAATTGTGGAGTTTGTGTATTCTTGTTTGACTTGTCAGAAGTCTAAGATCGTACGTCATAAATCGTCGGGTTTAATGCAACTGTTATCTATTCCTTTGTGGAAATGGGATAGTATATCGATGGATTTTGTGTCTGGTTTACCCAGAACAACGAGTAATTGTGAGTCTAGTTGGGTCAATGTGGATAGATTGACGAAATCTGCTCATTTTATTTCAATGAGAATGGATTGCCCATTGGAGAAGTTAGAAAAGTTGTACATTGAGGGTATTGTCAGTTTTCATGGTATTTCGTCTAGTATTGTATCAGATGGAGATCTGAGGTTTACTTCGAGATTTTGGGAATGTTTGCAAAGTGCTTTGGGTACAAAGTTGCAGTTGAGTTCTGCTTATCATCCGTAGACAAATGGTCAAATAGAGAGGACGATTCATTCACTTGAGGATCTTTTGAGAGCTTATGTGTTGGAAAAAGAAGGTGCTTGGGATAGCTACTTGCCTTTAATTAAGTTTACTTACAACAACAATTTTCATTCGAGTATTGGAATGACACCGTTTGAAACCTTGTATGGTAGGAGGTATAGGACGCCATTGTGTTGGTATGAGTCAGGAGAGAGTGTTGTGGTTGGACCTGAGATAGTCCAACAGACTACTGATAAGATTAAAATGATTCAGGAGAATATGAAGATTTCTCAGAGTCGTCAGAAGAGTTATCATGACAAGAAGAGGAAAGCACTTGAATTTCAGGAAGGAGATCATGTGTTTTTTGGAGTTACTCCGGTAACTGGTGTTGGTCGGGCATTGAAGTCACGTAAGTTAACACCGCGTTTTATCAGTTCATACCAGATTTTGCAGAAAATAGGAGAGGTGTCCTATCAGGTTGAGTTGTCATCGTCGTTTGCTAATCTCCATGATGTGTTCCATGCATCTCAATTAAAGAAATACATTGCGGATCCATCTCATGTAGTCCAAGTAAATGATGTGCAGGTGAAAGATAACCTGATTGTGGAGACATCATCTATGCAGATAGAGGATCAGGAGTTGAAGCAACTTCGAGGTAAAGATATTGCCTTTGTGAAGGTAGCTTGGGGAGGACTAGCTGGTAGAAACGTGAATTGAGAGCTTGAGAGTCAGATGAGAGAGTCTTACCCTGATATGTTCGTCTGAGATAATTTTCAAGGGCAAAAATCATTTAAGTGGGGAAGGGTTGTAACACCCCAATTTTTAGTAATTATTTATATATATTATATTAATTAACTAATTGTGTGATTTTGTGCGTAATTGATTTATTTGGTGGAAATGATATAGAAATAATAAAAATAAGATAATTGGGCCTATTGGATGAGAATGTGAAGAGTAAAGGTGGGGTTATGATTAGTAAGTCTATTAGTTACTAGAATTAGTTATTATAAGTGTTTTATATATAAAGAAAAAAATAGAGTTAATAGGGGAAAAAGAAGAAAAGAAGCTAACATAGAGAAAAGGAAAAGTGAAAAAGAGGAGAAGAAAACCTAAGGATGAAACTCAAGAGTTCATCAAGAAACCAACGCAACATTGGGTTTTTACATGGTTATGGAATTGTATGATAGTGTATGATGGGTAGTATCATATTTAGGATAAAAATTCCTAATTTCCATGGTTTTGAAATTGATGATTACATGATGTATGATGGTAGGATCATTAAATATGTGTTGTGGGATGTTAAAATTGTCATATAATGGTAGTAATTCAAATTCTAGAACTGAAACGTTTTACAGAATCGAAATCGGAGGTCTGGAAGACCTCTGACAGTGAAAATGGGTTTTTCTGAACTCTGACACGACCTGTGTCACTTGACACGACTGGTCGTGTCAGCCCCCTATTTTGGAGTGCAAAAACGTGATTTTTTGACTTTGGGGTGCCACGAGTCGTGTCCCTTGACACGGTCGGCCGTGTCAGCTCGCTAGATTTCATACCTGGAATTGTCTCGATCATAACTTTTGATCTGTAAGTCTGTTTTGGTCCCCGTTCGAAGCATCGAAAAGCTAATGAATTGAGCTATAACATAGTGTGTGTGTGTGTGTGTGTGTGTGTGTGTGTGTGTGTGTATATATATATATATATATATATATATATATATATATATATATATATATATATATATATATATATATATATATATATATATATATATATATATATATATATATATATATATATATATATATATATAAGAAATTGGTTGCTCAATACTTTTATATATGATATGTTTGGGAAGCCAATTGTGCATATGTTCTATTAATGAATTGTTGCACTGTTTACTGCTGGTTGTGAAATTATTTGTGGATAATTTATCGAATACTTGTGTGTGTGCTTATATAAGTATATTTTGGTGTGTGAAAACATGATATTTATTGCTTGTTATAATGATAATACATTTGTGATTGTATTGTAAAATGTGTTGTATACCATTTGAAAGTGAATTGCGTGTCGATGATTCATAAATATGTGCAAGTATGTGTAATTGTGTGATAACTCAATTACGATAAATTATTGAAGATATGCATGGATGTTAAGATTGAGGGATGTTTTTAATTGCATATGGTTGTTGAGCTTGCATATGCATCATTGTAGTCAAAAGACAATGCTTGTTAGTTCCGTGATAACTAGTGACTTGTCTCAAACCTAGAGAGAGGTTTGAAGCTTAGATGACGGGCTTTTGTGTATTATTGATCTAGAGGACATATCCGGTTTAATGTAAATACTGAAAAATAATAACAGTGATTGATACCACATGTATGAGTCTTGCATTGAGTCATATTGTGTCTATGATTGTAATATAAGATTATGTGCATTATATGAATTTGATGAATTGGTGAAATTGTGGATTTGTGAGTATGTACTTATGAATAGTAAGGTTGCTTGAGTGATACTAATCTTATAAAGCATTTGAAGTGTGAAAATAATTATGCTATGCATGTATGCTATGTATTATATATTATTATATGACTTTGATAGTCATATGATTTCTCACCCTTCTGTTGGAATGATGTTTTATACGACATCGCTCAGGTATTGAAAACTAGAGTTGCTTCTAGCACGAGGGTAGTTGTTGGAGTTGCTTACTTTATTTTTCTTATTTATTTTGGTTCGAGTCATGCTCTGGTCATGTAACACTGGAAACATTTTGATTCATATTTTGAGAGATACTTTATATACTCTATTTTATTTTGCTATCGTTATTGAATTATGTGGAGTTTTGGCTTTCATGCCTAAGTGGTGATATGAATGAGTTATTTATGAGACTATTTATTATGTTCGTTATGAATGAAAGTGATTCCGCTGCTACATGCTATGTGAAAGTGTATGAAAAGTATGAATTTAATTTAAGTGTTATCGAGCATGACAGGTGTATGTGTGATGTTTGAATTATATGTGACACCCTTATTTGAGATGCATGTTATCTTACTCTGATTTATGACGTATTATTCTGTGAGATTTAGAAGGGTGTTACAAACGTGGTTTCCAAAAGTGTGAACATTTTTGCTCTTAAAATCAAATTTTGAAACTCCAAATCAAAACCCTTTGACAACCTCTGTTCAAACTCAACAATAGCTTGAACCTGTTATTCCTCGTTTTCTTGCTCTTAAAACGTCTTTATGAGGTTTATAATGATAACACAATCTAAGTAGATTAGGGAGATATGAGAAGATGATGGTTGCTTTTGATTCGAGTTCTATAAAGGTTTATAGATTTAGAGTCGGTTTTGAAGAGGAAAGTGAAAGGATTAGTTTTGTGTTTGACATCTTTAAAAGCTTCATTTGAGTTTAGGGAAAAGAGATAGAAGAAGAAAAGACAAGAGAGTTAAGATGAGAAAACAAAATTCAATAAGATAATGTTTATTACAGAAAGAAAAAATAGATATCAACTCAAAAATGTTCAATTTTTAATGATGTGCAATATACACCTGACCTAGGTAATAAATTTATATTTTAAGTGATTTATTACAAATATAATAAATACAAATAAAATAAAATAAAATTTTAAAAATAAAAAATATTCAATATTCAATACCTAGTAAACATGACCTAATTAAGTTGATATAAAATATAGAAAAATACACCAACAAGTTGACTTTTTGCATAGTATAAGACGCCAAAATATTAAAAAATAACAACATTAATATGTTAGTGGCACTATATAATAAACATAAAGTATTCATACTTACATCCTTTGCTATCTTCCACCATCCATTTCAAGATGGAAAAAAACTTTTTCTTAGTGTTTGTGATTCTTCTGAGTTTCTCCTATGTTCTCCATGTCTCTTCTATTCCTACAACAAGTAAGCTTTTTAATTTGTTTTTGGTTCTCTTTAATTAGAATTTTATGCAAATTTTGTATATATATTAAATCATTGATGATTTTTATTGATTTCTATTGTTATAGGAACCAAAAATTTGAATTTTGTAGATGCATCAGTTTTTCCTTCTTTACCCCAGGTTAGTACTTTTGAATCTTGATCTGTTTCCTTCTCTTGCAAAATCATGGTTAAATATTTTTGGAATAATTATTCATAATTTAATTTTTTTATATATTCATATTCATAATTTAATAATTTTTATTTTTATTTTTTATATTTTGGTTCTTGTTCATTATTTGCATGTTTTGCAGGAAAATGGATTCATGGAGTTGGAAAATGGTGAGGAAATGAAGGAAGAAAGATTGATGGGGAGAAGGGTAAATTTGGAACTTCATGATTATGAAGGGCCAGGTGCAAATAAAGAGCATGATCCAAAATCTCCAGGTGGAAATGGTTAATGTGAAAATATATAGATTAAATTAATCATATCCTAATTAAAGTTTAGAGGAAAAATATGAAAAATGTGTGATAATGTTTTCTTAGAATTAATCATGTATGTGTGGTTTTTTGTTTTTGTTGGTTTTCTATACATGTAATTTGAATTGTAATATCAAATAAGGTAGCAAAAAAGAGAAGTTTAAGTAATATTTATATTAGATTATTAGTGTGCTGGTTGTAATTTGTAAAACTAAGTTTTAATTAGAACAATAATGAAGAAGCACTTGGAAGTTTTGTTTGGAACAATTTTTGTTTTGTTTCATACAATCAAATATATATATATATATATATATATATATATATATATATATATATATATATATATATATATATATATATATATATATATATATATATATATATATATATATATATATATATATATATATATATATATATATATATATATATTGGTTGATGACAGTAATACACGTGATACTCAACAATTTTTAAGTGCTTTTGAAACTTTTAATTAGTGGTGGATCCATCTTCACACCACTTTATCTTCACGTGCAACACCAATTACATTTTATGTTAAGAAAATAATTAATCTAATTAAAAATTGTATTTAAGTAGCATGGTTCCAATTTTTGTTGATATTAAGAGATTAATCTCATCTAATTTTTTTATTAAAAAAATAACTTTTATAGATATTAACATCATGTTAATCAAACTTTAATTTGAAAGTTTTTTATATTATTAAATAACATTGTCATCTATATCCTTCTAGCACACTAGATAACACTTTAACAATTTGTCGGTGAAAATTCTAAATAATATTGATAGAGTGAATCTCAAAAGACTTAGTGTAGCTTTGGAAGTAGTAAAAATTCTAAAATTTGATGCATTTTACTCCAAATGTGATTTTAGGCTCATTTTTTGTTTAAGTTTATTTTAAATGAATGAATATATATACATATATAAATGACTTTTTATTCAACTCATTTTTAACTAAAACTAATTTTACAAATTGACTAATTAAAGTCATTTTTTATTAGCATAACCAAACACTTGTTAGGAAGATAAAGTAAACAACAAAAGAAAAGAAAAAAAGCAATTATGTTTTTTTTAGATTGAATTATATTGGATTATTTAAATATCTAAATGGTTATTCCTATTGTGACAATAAAAATATTGTAATTTAAATTGGTGTAATCAGAATCAAACAGAAATATAATGTAATCAATTACAGTTTTGGTGTAACCGATTAGCACCTTTTAGTTTTCTGTATTTTGAAGTCAGTAGCTTTTTGTAACCGATTATAAAGGTTCAAAAGTTTGTTTTTCATTTTAGTTGTTTAGCTACGTTGATGTGTATTATTATATGTATATTTCATATTGGGTTATTGATGAAATACTTCTATACGATCATTCCCACCCTAATTTTCTCTATAATTCTCTCATTCTATCCATTATTCAACTTTTCATCATTTCATCTTGTGATTGGGTTTTTTTCCAACATTTGGTAGCAAAGGCTTAATTCTTTGATTGAACGCTTAGTGCGCAAAAATAGTTTTAATTTCCAATGAACATATCCCAGCAAATCTCAATTCTCGATGAGAATAATTATGACAAGTGGTGCAAACATATGAATGTTTTGTTTGGTTATGAAGATGTTTATGAAGTGATAAAGAACGGTGTTAACACACTTGTAAAAGGTGCAACAGTTGCACAAAATATTGCTCACAAAGAAGAGAAGACAAAAGATTTTAAAATTTTGTATCTCATTCACCAATGTGTTGATATTGATAACTTTGAGAAGGTTGGTGATTGCACATCCTCAAAGGAAGCTTGGAAAATCTTGGAGAAAAACTATACAGGAGTTGATAAGGCAAATATGGTGAAGTTACAAACTCACAAGAGACAACTGAAATTAATTCAAATGGAATAGAAGAAAATCATTATTGAATTTACCACAAGAATCACAAGATTGGTGAATCAAGTGAAAGTGTGTGGAGAGACAATCAATGCGCAGTATTGGTAAAATCATGAGATCATTGAAGTCAAGATTTGATAATGTAGTGATTGTTATTAAAGAATCCAAGAATCTTTCAACCATGAGCAAATAAGAGTTGTGAAGTTCTATTGAGGCTCATGAGCAAAGAATGAAGGCAAGGAATGTTGACAAAGCAAAGGTTGAAGTTGCTTTACAGGCATGTTTCGTTGGAAAATACAAGAAGGTGAAGAGAAAGTGGTCTATAAATAGAGATAGATGAAGTTATCACAACAATGGTGGAAGGGACTTCCAAAATTTCAACAATTTAATATTTCAAAAGGGTGAAAACAATTGCAACAAAGGTGGTGGATCAAGTAACTACAAAGGTGACAACAAAAGAGGAAAAGAATGAAGATGGAAAAATGACAAGAGAAACGTCAAATGTTACAAGTGTTAAAAGCTTGGACATTGCTTGCAAATGTAATGCCAACAAGAATGATCCACAAGAAGTTGAAGCAAAGTTTATAAGGCAAGAAGATGATTAGAGCACACTGCTAATTGTGATTGCTGAAGCATAAAATAACACAGGAAAATGCAACCGAAACCAGGTACAATCACTTGAAAATGTGATGGTGACTATGTGAGAAGATGCATAATGCATTGATCAATGGTATCTTGACTTCGGGTGTTCAACGCACATGAAGAGAAGGAATGATTGGTTTATAAAAATCAATCAAGCGTTGAAAAACAAGGTGAAATTTGTCGATGACGACACACTAGCAACAGAAGGGATTGGTGATGTATCAATCAAGAGGAAGAATGGTGAGTGTTCTTTAATTAAAGATGTGTTGTTTACTCTTGGAATCAAGTGTAATATTTTAAGCATTGTAAATTGCTTGACAGGAATTTCAAGATTCATATGGAAAACAAAGTGTTGAAAGTTATGGATGCAAATGGTAGTTTGATCCTAAAGGCTCATATGGCTCAAAATAAAACCTTCAGATTTGAATTGAAATAAATGGAGCATAAGAGTCTTGCAACGAATTATAGTAGGGAAGAATGGATGTGACATTATAGGCTTAGGCATTTGAATTTTAAAGATCTCAACGCTACGGAGAAAAATAGCATGGTTACGAGGCTGCCACTAATTAATATGACAACTGAAGTATGTGAAGAGTGTGTGCATGCCAAGCAACACCAAGGCAGGTTTAACAAAGATGCAGGATGCACAACCAAGTGTCATCTTATGGTTGTGTATTCGAATGTTTGTAGACCAATGCAAGTTGAATCAATCAGAGACAATATGTACTTTGTCTCTTTCATTGATGATTTTAGTAGAAAGTTATGGACTTACTTGATTAAAAGAGAAGATGAGGCAGTGGAAGTATTCGAGAAGTTCAAATCCATGGTGGAAAGACAAAGTGGCCACAAAATCAAAACTCTAAAAGCAAATGGTGGAGGTGAATATGTCTCAAATTAATTTGGGGAGTTTTGTGATCAAGAATGTATCGTACATGAGATAGTGCCACCCTATAAACCTCAACAAAATGGAGTTGCCGAAAGGAAGAATCGGTCGATTATGAACATGGTAAGTAGCATGTTAAAAGGGAATAACTTGCCAACAAAATTATAGGGATGAGCGGTGTCCACGACTACATATTTTTTTAATAGGTGTCCAACAAAGAAGCTGAAAAAATATTACACCTGAAGAATTATGGTCTGAATTCAAGCCAAATATGATTCACTTGAAGGTATTTAACTCGATTGTGTATAGACATGTTTCAGATCAACTTAGAAAGAAACTAGATGACAAGAGAGAGAAAATGATACTTGTTGGGTATCACTCTACTAGAGGCTACAAACTTTATGATGCAAGCAACAAAAGAACCATAATCAGTAGGGACATGACTTTTGATGAATTAATGAACTAGAAGTATGTTATAATCGATGAATTTAAAGGTTACAATAGTGGTGGAACTGTTCTTGTAGTGTTTAAAAGAGCAGAAACTGCAGCCGATGAAGTGCAAGTTGAAGAAAATGTGAGAAGATCGACGAGGAAAAGAGACATGTGTGCAAGACTATAAGATTTTGCTTTGTTCCCGAATAATTAAGTGAATGATAATGGTGATCTTGTCTTTTTTACGCTCATGGATGAATCTGAATTGGTGAAAACGGAGGAGGCCTTGAGTGATCCAAAGTGGATATGTGCAGCGAAGGAGGAGCTGGATTCAATTTAACAAAATATGACATGGGAATTAGTTTACCTACCTCAAGGAAAGAAGTCAATTGGTGTAAGATGGGTGTACAAAGTGAAGGTGAATCGCAAAGATGAAATAATCAAGCATAAGACTCAATTAGTTGCAAATATATTTTCACAAAGAGAAAGCATAGAATTTGAACAAATATTTGTATCGGTGGCTAGGATTGAAACCATTATGATAGTTATTAGTATTGCAAATAACAAAAATTGGTTCATCTATAAAATGGGTGTAAATTTTTCATTTTTCAATGATCCTTTAGAAGAGGAGGTGTATGTGGCACAACCACCTGGTTATATTGTGAAAAAACAGGAATCCTAGTTTTATAGATTGAAGGTGTCGTATGGACTAAAGTAAGCACCAAAAGCTTGTAACAAAATAATTAATGTATTTTTAAAGGAGATAAGATTTTATAAATGCGTATCTAAGCATGGTGTGCATGTGAAGAAGGATACAAGCAAAAAAGTGATCATCATATGTCTCTGCGTCAATGATCAACTAATTATAAGCAGTAATGTGTGGTCTTAGATTTGGAATCCCCACCTCTCATTGAGGATTTCATTTTTTATTTGTCTAGATTTTCACAACTTGCTCCTACTCTGTACCTCCTTTAACACAGTCACATGATCACATCAGCTCTTTGGTCTCTACCTCCTTCATTATATTTAAGATCGCACTCTAAAAAAAACTTTGGTTGAACCTCAATTTCTTAACTATAAATATGTTTCTGACTCAAGATGGAAGTTATGACAATCATAGTGATCTCT